AGATCATTATAAAGTAAGAATCGTATCGGTTTCTGAAAATTCATTTTTACTTACCTATTCTTTAGTTTTCTAGTTTTATTAAAAGTGAACTTGTATTTTGTATATTTTTTAGGAATTGATGAATGTATCTAAAGATGTATTACAGTCAGAAATAGAAAAGGCAAAGAATTGAATATTGCAGTCTATTTATGAAAAGTATATAACTTTAAATGATGTGAAAAAGGTTTTAACAAAACAGACTTTCCCTAATTTATATAAACTATTTCAAGTTGCTTTATCAATTCCTATAAGTTCCTCCACTTGTGAAATTAATTTTTCGGCCATGAGTAGAATAAAAACATGGCTTCGAAATTCTATGCTGCAGAAAAGGTTCAACAACACCTCAATACTATAATTAAATTATAAAATTATAAAATGTCGGTGAAGATTTGGAGTCGCTAGCTTGATTTAGGGGAACCAACTTCACTCACATCAGACATGGGCGTAACTTGAGCAATTTTTATGGGAATACAAACTTTATTTTATTGTGATATAAAGCATATTTAGAGACTCTGTATTATTATGTATTATAATGGCAAATGCCATGAAACAAATCAATTTTGATTCATCCATTAATTGTTTTTCTTATAGTTAATAGTTCAAAAAATTATACATTTCTTAATAACGTAATTCTTATAAATCTAAAATATAAGAATATAAAATTCTCCAGTCTAAGATTTTATTTATTTCTATATATAAACTAGGTATTTGTTTATTTATATCATAAATTTAAAATGCATTTTCTATAATTTAAAAAATATCAAGGTTCATTGTTTCGTTACATTTTTATAGGGAAGAAGTTGGGCCATCCCATTAATCTCCAGCATACACCTTTAGTACCGGATGTATAATATAAATGATAAAATAATATTATAAAACTAAAATTAGTTAATTTTTAATACTCGTAAACGAATTCGAATTAGAAGTTTATTATCAGGTGTAAAATAAGGCTAGGTTCACATGGACGCGCGTATACGCGCGTCGGTTGATTGTGCGTATTTAAATATACGGGTCTCAAAATCATCGTTCACATGGCAATGGGCGTGTACGCGCGTCAACCGCGATAACGACGCAAGTTTCTATTTCTGCGCGAACACGCGCATGACACCGCGGATTGAAATATCACGTATTATTATTGGACTGTTCAGTTGACACGCGCGTTTCGATGCGAATGATCGAAATTCCATCTATAGTTTTTGAAAACAAATGTTTTTTAAATATGAAAATTGAAATAGATATTTTAATTAATAAAATAGAAAAAAGGTTACCTTACTTAACATACCATCTGGGACATTTTGATCAGTTTCTAAGAAGTCTTTAATTATCTCCAATAGTTTATCAAATGATTTAATGGACATTCTAAAGTAATTGAAAAATTTGTCATGGTGCCCTCTTAGTTTAGGACAATGGTCTTCAACCTTTTTTGACCTGCGACCCACTTTTCTTACCAAACATTTTTCGCGACCCATGTAAATTTCGTTAGCCATAAAAACCAAATAAAAAAGTTAAAATTGTTTAATTTATGCCATTTTAGAAGTGCTTTTACAATTGAATAAATCAAAATTTATATTTCTTATGTACCTATTTAGGAAATATTTAATTTTTAATATAAGTAATGATACAAAAAAAAATGCATGTAATGATACCGAAAAATGTATATGTTTTGATACACAAAAGAAATGAGTGCCATATTTGTCCTTCCGGACTGTTTTCACACGAAATACCTCCACCTCAGCTCAGTTTAACACAATGCAGTTTATAAATATATGAAATGTAAATGAGATTTATAAATTAAGTCGGGCTATCACTTCATTTTATTGTTCATTCTATTTTTTCTTTTATTTGAAAATTGAGACTTCAACAGCAAATAATATTTGATATTAGAAGTTACACATTTGATGTGTTAGGTGTTAGATTAAAATTACAATATTAAATATAAAATATTATATAGGTGAAGTTAGATGTAAATTAAGATTTACTAATATAATATTTGTGATACTTAATAATGTGACTATTTTCATAGTTTGTTTTTCGCTAAATACTTTTACTATGTTGAATGGCGTATTCAGGTCGGTGCGTATTGAGGTAAATTATGTACACTCCTCCACTATGTGTTCGACAGTTAATGATTAGTGGTATGTGTTGCATATTGGTTTGAGGATTTTTTTTTGATTAAGTATAAGTGAGAAAAAAGTGTTCATTCTAATCTTCTACAAAATTAAATTAATATAAAATAATACGGTTTCGGGTTTATCCGAAAACATTTTTATGCAATACCATATAACATACATTATATAATGTATATATAAATATGATTTTTTTAAATTTTAACAGAAAACTTATCGCGACCCAACCTTAAAGCTTACGTGACCCAAAATTGGGTCGCGACCCACCGGTTGAAGATCACTGGTTTAGGATATAATGTAGCACTAAATATAATGTAATAATAATCTAAGATTTAAAGAAAGCCTTGTTTTCAAAATAGGATGAACCCAATATTTCCTTTTCGTCATTTGTCTGCATCTTCTCATCCTTCGGTGGACGGCCAATAAACACACAGCATCCATCACATTCATTCTTGATGACAATTTGAACTATATTAAATAATATAGTTTTTGACTAGAACATTCCCGTACAACGTGTTCTGTGGCGTGCTAACGCGCGTCCATGTGAACCTAGCCTAAGCATTATCGGGTACTTAGTAGATCGTGATTTATAGATAAAGCGATAATAATTATCGCTTTATCTATAAATCGCGATTATTGCAATTATTACAGCAATTATTGCTGTCGCGGATGTAATATTTGCTTTTTCCATTATAGTCGCTGTATGGAACTCGTAGTTATTGACATCGTAAGTCGTATCGTTCAATTATATTATTATTATTACGAAATATTCTAATATTCTCCTTTTTTGTTTTAATAGTCAAACAATCCTCCTACAATACAGTCCTTTTGTAACATTTGCAAAATCAACCTTTACACGCAAACTGTTTATTTGCACATACTACATATTACACGCAACTGAAGCCCGTACCGGGGCTCAACGAGTTCCATCGGTCCCGTTTGCACGGTCACGTAGCCGCCGTGTTTCGATTTCAATTTTTACTGCCGTTACTCGACGGGACCGCGCTGCGGCGTGATATGCACCGTGTAACGCGGGCAACGGATGGTACGCTCACGCGCGCACGGACATAAACACGGCATCGCGGCGTCGTTTCCAGCAGTGATCTGTTGTAAAAAAAAAAAAAAAAAAACAAAAAAAAAAACCAAAAGGCATACCGTATACGCATAATGTTTCGGTTCAGGGTGAACAACACGTAAACACGTTGCGTACAAATTGGAATGGAAAAAAAAAAATTATCAACGTTATTCCATGATGTTAAGTTGAAACCAATTTTAATAAGCGATTAAAGTGTATAATCTATTGAAAAATATTCCAAAATAATCCGTTGAACTAATTCTATTCTTGATTGGCGAAAAAAAATCAAAAATAAGAGATATGGAGATATGGATATTCTCACGACGACTATGTACGTTATGTAATGACATAGAATTTTTAATAATACAATAATTGCGACGAACCAGTGGTGTATATAGGAGTGGGTGCCTAATGGGCTACAGCCCCCTTCCCCCCGAAATGTTTTAAAAATCTTAAAATTATTTTAAACGTTTGTTATATTTTAATGGTGCTTTATGCTTCTTTAGAATTTGCGTCCAACGTCAAATCGTTTTGCGACATTCTGTAAATGAAATGTAGATAAATACCTACCGTGTCATGTTAGTAATTCTTAGATAGCAGTGATAATTTAACTGTGTCCATAGTAGCTCCTCCCGAAAATATTTTCTGTATACGCCACTGCGGCGAATACACCTATCTAAAGTCATTAGATATGTATACATAGATTATTCAGACAATCGTAATCGTTGTTCGTTAACTAACCTATAAACATGCCATCTAATCATCCGGATTACGAGATTGAATACTCGTATGATGAATAAATAAATGAATAACATGATTAAATGTTTCGTGTAACGAATTATTTTATCGTCGTTATTCCTCGTTGTTCATAACGGCTCCCACGACCCACTGCACTTGCAGTGCCAGATTTAGCGGGGTTATGGAGTGCAAAGCACCTCAAGCTCTAAAACCAAAATCTAAAATTAAAAATATTCTCCGTTTCGATCTTGGATCCGACACTATACACACGAACACGTAATCGTAAATGGCGACAATTACATCCTCAATAGTGCGTAAAATCCGTGCTGCCTCCTCGTCGTTGGGATGTTCCTCGAGTGAATCCATCGGAGACGATAGTGCCTGACCGCGTGTAAGTTCCGCAAAAAAAAAAATCGAGACTACAAATGGCCTTAAATCACGAATGGTATTGTTTACACGTCCGACCGACCGACACCACTACGACGCGGTGTCACGGGGAGACCATTGCCACGCTATTATTTTTATTATTAATTTTTTTTTCTATCCTTTTCATTAATTGTTATTATTTTCATCCCAAGCGTTTTCTCCCCGACGCAATACGTCTAAAAAGCCAGCGAACACCTCATTACCGATGTACATTTATTTCTAATCGATCGAAGAACTTTTTCAAGAATCCGGGTAGTGCAATGAATAAAAACGAATTGTGGTTTTATTTTCCCAGTACGTATACCGTACATGAGTTTATAATAATAATTTATAGTTTAACAACATTGATCTTTCCATTTAAGCACATCATTTTCAATAATTATAATAATTATAATAATAATAATAATAATAATAATAATAATAATAATAATAATAAT